CTGTGCTCTGGGTTTTAGAAGCTGACTGTAACAAAAGCAGTAGTATGTGGTTTACTGCACCTCTGGGTGTTAATCACTTCATAATGGTGGGTGTGCCAGGATATGCGTTCATTTAAATATGTTTGAAATAATGTTTCTTCTTGTTCCTAGAATTCTGTGGAAGAAAAATGAAGTTGCAGACTATGAAGCAACAACTTTTTCCATCTTTTACAACAATACTCTCTTTCTGGTCCTGGTAATCATTGCTTCGTTTTTTGTGCTGAAGAACTTCAACCCCACCGTGTATCCTTTATTACCACACTTGAAACAAGCAGAGCCCTAGTCCTACTTGTTGTTACTGGTTGATAAGTGTGGTTCACTGTAGTACCCCAGCTTAGAAACACTGGAACATAAAAACAGAGAATACAAAAAAAAAAAAATCTCCCAATCATGTAAAAGTTTAATGTCTGACACAGGATGTTTTAAGGATATCACTTGGACAATAGACAGAAATTCTTACGGCTTTGCCATTTCAGTTGTAATTGTGGAATGAGGAGGCAGTTCGTGTTCTTACAGAAACATTTTGTCAGTGATAGTTGCCAGGTGCTCTTATGTTACAGGATTGCTTAGTTTAAGTAACTTCACAAGTTCAGTTTTTTGTTATTTAAGTAAATAAGTACTGCCAGTCAGGGCCACGTACATTAATTAAGGCTCCGTGGTATTTAACATTATTTATAGTTACTGTTAAGAGAACAGGCTACACTTTCTGCGTGTCTTAATTTTGAAGTTAAGTACAATTCAGCGTCCTGCTAACACCTCCATTGTCAGCTGTATTTCAGGTATTGCAATTTGAAAACTCCTACAGAGGAAGACCATTTCAATCCCTTGTTTTTCATAAAACTCTTACTAAATATTCTGTACGAAAGAAATGGGTTTTTTGCAAGTATACGTCCTTAACCCTTTCCCTAATACATTCTTTCTATAAGTGCTTCATCTGGACTGATTGCTCTGCTATCTACAGGATCCAAATAGACAAAAAACCCCACAGCAATTTATATCTGTGAGAGGGTTCAACTGCCATACAAAAGTTTAAGGGTGGAATAGGAATACTTTTGTTTTTTTAAATAGTGTGACTGCATGAGCATATAGGGGGGAGGGTTTGAGTCCAAAATGATTGAATTATATTTACTTTTGGTATCTTTACGTGCTATTATTCAATAACTGAATTAATCTTTTTTTTTTTACTTAGCAATGAAAGGAAATGGTGTGTGAGCAGTTACCACACATAACCTTTCTGAAGCACCTCACAGGTGTGCTGGTGCTCCAGACTGTTAGACAAGTACACCGGGGTGAAGTGCCACACAGCAGCACAAACGGTTGTACTTAAGTTGTAAGAGAATTCCCCTGTAAATTGGGTAACTCATGTAAGAGCCAAACTCACTGATCCACCACTTATCATTGTAACTTGGAAAGTTTTAATAAAAACGTGGCTTTTGTCATTTAATTCCTTGTATTTCCATTCTTAATTAAAAAAAAAAAAGGGTATTTTCATGGGCAAGCGGTGTGTGCTTAGGTTTGTCAACTCTTTCTGCTTCCAGAAGAGAGGAGTATTCTACAGGTTGGCGTATGTACTCTTTTCATTGGAAATACTCCTCATTTTTAAGTTAACTTAGAGTCAGGACAAAACCTAAACCTCCTAGAAGAATACTTTTGAAGTGATTGAAATGTACTTTTATTTTCCCATTCATCTCTAATGGCATAAATAATAATAAAAAAAACCCAAATTGCTGGTTTTGCTGGCACAGCTTAAAAGCCAGCTAAAGCATTTTTGTTATAATGGGTTTATCAGACAATCTTTTTCCTTTTTTTTCATGCTATCAGTAAAGCAGCTGTTAAGTTAAATGCTAAACTCTACTACCATTAGTGGGATCTATTGTAGAAGTTACACGTGTTGCCATTACAGACTTGGGACCCTAATCCAGGAAGAAAGAAAAAGCTTATAATCAGATTTAATGTAACAATTACTTTGCTCATCTTTACTTCAATAATATTCATATTTATGTAAAATATAGCAAAATTAAGATTCTGGAGTGCAGGAGACAGCGTGCTCTAAGGCAAGTCAGATACCCTGAGTTTGTAATGTCTCCATTTCGGACAGATTGAGCCAGGAGAGTCTCACAAAACTTACCCCATTACCCAGTGCCTGCTCACTGTTGTAGCACGTCTCCAGCATCCGTTGGATGGGGGTCTTCAATCTCAACCCTCTACTGCAGGATTTGCTTTTACGTTGCTTCCCAGTAGAGGTAATGCTATTCATGTGCTTACATCACGAAAATCCCACTGGTTTTGGTGCACTTCAGAGCTGCCATTGAAATTACTTTTCCAATTGGTCATTGAACACTCTTCCAATTAACTCAATTGTTTTCCCTCAAAAATATAGGCATTTTTCTCTATCCCTTCTGCCTGATTATTTGCTACTGAAAGGAGACTTTGCATGTTGCTGGTGTCTCCCTTGCCTAATTTTCCTTTCCTTGGCCTGTCACCTATTATAAAGGATATAATTTGTATGTATTTTGGCTTAAGTATTTAGCACACGTAAAACAATTTTCTAACAAACTTCTGAAAAATGGTAAGAATCTAACAGGAGGCCAAGGTGGCAGCTCTGTAAGCAACAGGATTTGAATGTTGCTGTTTTGCTGGCCACTGGTGGTTTGCTCAGCTCCTACCAGAAGTACCCAGTACTTAAACTCAGACAAATAGACAACACTAATACTGGTTTTACTGTCAGCGTTGGCCGGGATAAGGCTGCCCTCGGGGTGTTTTACGTGTTTTCCAGGAAGTCTGCTGTCTAGAGAGAAGTGATTTGAAGCACTGCTTTCTCCTGCTATTACTGTCAGTCCACTGAATCTTTTATTAACAGCTTTTCATCTTACCTTAGATTTTTTTTGTATTGACAGTTGCTAAGGCCTGGAGCAAAATATGCGTTGAGAATTTTTCCGGAGAGAGCACTTCGCGGTGTTGACAACCTGAAACAAAAGCAGGTGGGTGGGGTAGTTGGGTGAGTTGTTTTCTACAGAAAGCCTAGTCTTATTCTATGGATTTCACAGAAGATTTTTGTTTTTTTGTTATTGTTGTTTGGATTTTTGTTTGCTTTTGAGGGTTGTTTTTAGGGAGAGGGGTGTTTGTTGCACCCGGCTTCTTCAGTCTAATGCTGAAGGTTAGCCTAAAGCCAGGCTACTGCTTGGCATCCCATTGCCCTCGGAGCATTAGGCAAGCTGACTTTTAAGCTTTTATTCTAAGTAAGGGACAATGCCATCTCCTTTTCAGTAAAAAAATAATTAAAAAAAATTGGGAATTAATATATTTTTAATACGTTGTTGGATTCCCACTTATCTGAGAAGGGAAAAAGAACATTACATCGTACCTCTAGATGTAAGAAGAGGAACTAGTCTGCTGCTGGGGAAAAGAATTACGCTGTTAAAATAATAGAGCTGTTCACTGTATAACTGTTGAAGCCTTTGAAGCAAATTCTAAAATACTTGAATAGTTAATTTTCACAGCTAATACTGCAACAGCAGGGTACACAGCTCTGGGCAGGGAAAGTAACAGGAGAGAAATGCTACAGTGACTGTCCTCACCTCGGCTAACTGGGACTGACTGGCACCACTCTGGAGAGGCTGGTAACCAAACTGCAGTGGGATTTCAGGGAACTGGCAGGAGAACGTTCACATTGTGTTCGTTTCAGGCCAAAATGCTGTACATGATTGATGTCTCTGCCTTAGGAGTCTAACTTCTAGCAGTACCTGCTCCCAGATGTGCAGCCAGACCAGACCAGACCTTCGCTCCCTGGTGGTACCCACTGCTCTGGCTGTCCCAGGGACGGGTGAAGGTCAGCGTTTCCCTGGGGAGCAATACATACCCATTTTCAACGTAAACCGTTGCTGTTTCAGAATCAGTCTCACTGTTAGTAACAGGTCTCTTAATATAAGATTAGATGCACAAAATGCTTTTATTGTGTCCAAGCAGAAGTCAAAGTCAGACTGCGTTTCTGGATATACAGCAGCTAAGTTCATTTACACACACCATAGCTCATTGGATTAAATACAGGAGAAGACAACTCGAGTACCGGCATCGGTTCACGTGGCCCACGCTGCACACGCTCTGCGGATATCCTGGAGTTGAGGGGTCTGGGATACGAGGGTCCGACAAACACTGTACAGAGTGGTACCCCCAGGAAGGATGTGCCCACGGTACCCCCAGGAAGGATGTGCCCATGGTACCCCCAGGAAGGATGTGCCCGATCCAATGCGAGTGAGAAACGGTCACTGAGATCAGAGGTGCGTTTTACAAAGCAAACTCATGAGAAAACATGATGCAGTTCTTGAGATGGGCAAATTAATACAGACGTGCTTGCTATCGACGCCTGTAGAGGGATGAAATGCTCCCAAAAAAACCTACCTGTTGAAAATGTGTCTTAAAAATCCTATGCGTTTACTTATGCCCGATTCCAGAACAAGTTAAAGCAAATGTGACCTTCCACCAAAGTACCTACCTGATTTTTTTTCTGGTATTTTTCAGCAGCTATCTATGATATATAAGTATCTATATCCTTAAAAGCTCATTAAAACTGGAATTTGCAATAGCTGTGTCTACAAGCAGGCAGAAGTAGAGGCAGGTTTATATAGATGCAAAACCCAATACTTTATGATGGATTTCTTGGTTTAAGGTTTATGTAGAATTAGAATTTTGCAAACAGCTGTTGTTTTTATTAACCTGACATGCGTGTTTAGATTTTCTAACTGTGCTCTTCTGGCTTGAACTCAGGAATACTTCCCAGGAGCACTCCACAGCTGAAATAATTGTATAGTTAGGAGTTGAGCTATCTAATTTCTAACTAATCCTCTGTCTTAAGTTCTTTAGTCGACTACAAACGAGATCTAAAGCGTACATTCAGCATAAAAAAAGGAAACGGAAAATTTGAGCTTGCCCCTTCTATCTGCTAACCTGAAGAAACTTTATAGTTGAGATTTCCCAAATGTGGTTTTATTAAAACCTTAAGTTGTATCTGGCTTTTCTTCATTGAAAAAATAGATCTGTACATCCTTCTTTAATTACCAAGTACCTGAAGGTTATAAATTATTTTTTGCTTTACAAGTGTTTTTCGCAGCACAAGCATGAGGTGCTAAGAGTAAAGTAAAAATTAACGAATTCAGTCGAAGGTAAGAAAATACAAGATCATTCTTGGTTAGAAGAGAGATCAACTGTGCTTTTCAATTTCACTGCAGATTAGTAGCAACAGCACACATCTCGAAGGATCCAGTGACAGTAGACACTGAGCAGCAAGCTGCTGAATGATTCTCATGACCAGATAGTAACTCGGGGCTGTACTTCTGTGCAGAGCACTTTTTAAACCATGCAGTCCAGGGAATTCATGCATTGCCTTATGATCTGTAGTCCTTCTTGCTGTAGGGCTTATTTCCCAGAATGTTATCTATCTCGTTTACGATATGGGATGTCATCTTTGGAAGGACCTAGGGGTAGAAGAACACTGACGTTTAATCAAGCTTCCATTAAAGGTTTTTCCAAATTTAAATCTAGATTTTTGTCAGATATTTCCTCTGGTTTGTGTGTGACAGATATTTAAACATTCATCTGATACCTTTCTCCCTTAAAGGAAAAACTACTGTAACATCTTTACTCTGGGGGAGAATCACAGAAATGCTCCTAAACTTTATACACACAATATTACTCGGCTGCAGTGGAAAGTGAGCTGGTAGCAAGAACATCAGGGGAAGCTCTTATTGTGAAAAGCAACAGAAAATAATAAAGGTGGGTGCAAGTGACATGTGCCCTGTGGAAAACTCGGTGCAGAATATATCACAACATGTCCTAGAACGAGGTCACTTGCTTTTTCAGGTACTCTAAACCTGCTGATGCCACCTTCTTGTTGCTGGTACAACTGTAACTACCACAAATGGTGGTAAGTCACGGTGACGCACCACGGTTTGCCTAATGAATGTGCGTAACTGGAAGAATATGAAGTATTAAGACTACATTAAGTTTTAAAACTATATTAACTGTATTAAGAGAACAAGGGTGGTAGTCTCAAGGTGTGGGGGTGTTCCCCCCAAAGGGAGCTGGACAGTAGCCTCACCCCCACCACTGTTGAGATGCCACCTCCGCCTGCACTTGCCTGTATGGCTCCGAGGTTCTCTATCAGCTGCTCTGGGTTGGAAGATCCTAGAAGGACGGAGCTCACCCCCTCGTTTCTCAGGCACCATGCTGGGAATAAAGTCACAAGACAGTCAGGAACACGGGCTTCACAACACGGCAGTACTCCAGATCCTAATGTTTGACAGAGCTTCTATCTCTACTCCAAAAATAATGACGTTATTTGTCTCAACCTTCGCTTTGCTCCTACGGTACTACCAGGAGGAAGATGCACGGATCAAATAAACCACACAGCAGATCTGCCTGCATCGCGTCTGACCCTGGTCCCTCGGCCAGCAGTGGTCACAACCATGGGCTTTGGGTTTTCCCTATCACAAGTCACAGGGATTCACCTCTCGGCTATTGGAACCAGGGATCGTTTTTCTACCAGACACGTGTGGTATTTCTCAGCCTTGGCTCTCAGTAGAACAAAGATAATTACTTTAAAAAAAAAAAAAACAACAACTCTCTTTTTAAAAAGTAGCAATCTCTTGTGTCCATCAGCCCAGCATGTGGAGCAACAGATGGCTTCCACCTGGGGAGGGACCGTTCAGGGAAACAGGCAGGTCGGGGCTGATCCCCTTGCAATGGCCCAAGACACACCAGCCCTCTTGTCAATCAAAGCCTGGTGATGATGCTGGAAGCAATCTTATTTTAAGTAATTTTTAACTTTACTGCTCAAAAAAACCCGCCCACATTATTTTTGTGTGAGGATATCGGAGCAGGGGTTACCTCAAAACCAACACCTGGCATTTTGATGTCCTACAGCGGGTTTTAGACTAGAGTAGAATAGAATATTTCAGTTGGAAGGAACCTACAACAATCATCTAGTCTGACTGCCTGACGCTGACCAAAAGTTAAAGCATATTTTGGTTGGTTTTGTTCTTTTACTGTGTTCCTTGAAACTCATTAGCCTTCTCCTAACGAGGTGTTGCATTGCCCATCTTCAGTCTGCCCTTCATTTCTCTCCGTAACTCCCGCTAGTAAATAATCATTTAAATGTTTTAAATGAAAAAAAGAGATCTAGAGATACAGGCAAAGACAAAGCCTAATTTGAAAAGCAAGACATCTTTGTCTGTGTTCCCATTTCCCAGACGGTCACTGGTCGTTAGTTAATTATGGAGCGGTCCCGCGCGTCACGTACCGACGGCCAGCTGCGGCAGCGTGCAGCCCAGACGCTCGGCGATGGGCGACAGGTCTTTCAGCTTCCCCTGCTGCTTCCTGCCTTCCTCGCTTATGATTTTCTCTTTCAGCCACTGGTAGCACTGGAGGTGAAGCACATTGTGACAACTGTTAGCTCTCATCTTCCAAAATGGAAAGTTTAAGGCAATTATAAACAGCTCTTGAAAAGCCACATCCAACCCTGGAGGTAATCGAGGCTCAAAACCACCGTGCTTTGCTACCCGAAGCAATTCAGGCAGGACCAGGACGTCTCCCCTGGGAGCCTGCCTTTGTGTCTCTCTGGCTTTATGCAACCCACGGACTCGGTCCAGAACCTGGAACCTCCTCAATTTTATTTTTGGATTGCTGGATGCCACCACAAAGCAGAAAAAAGTGCAATATTAGTCAACTTGAGATGGTTTTGACACACTATTCCCCCCCCCAAAAAAAAAAAATTAGACCATCTGATCTTGTTCAAGCTTTACTATTGCTGTTCAAGATTAGAAAATTAATTGAATAAAGCTAAGATTTCAGTTCTCCCAGGTCCAGACTTGAAACTTGATTCTACTTCACTCTCATTGATTTTATTTGGATCCCACTCTGCAACACTACCTGCTGAGCCAGCTTTTCCCAAAGATTAATAATAGATTTTACTTTAAAAAAAATCACAAACGCAATGAAATACCACGTTTGAAAACACTGCCCTTTGTAAGCGAGCCAGCACAGGCTGCATCTTTCTTTAAAAAGCACCGAGTGGAGCCAAAACCAGCCCGGGGCCACACGTCAGTCTGCTGGCAGCTGTCGGGCACCATTGGCACCTGCCCATCAGCTGGTACAGAGGCTCAAATACCATTTTGGGTGTTTGTTTTTTCCCAAATCTGTAACATTTTAACGCTCCGCTGTTTTTCAAGCCGTTAAATAATATGCCTGCCCCAGGCACGGTACGGGAGGAGACCCCATAACTCCTGCTAAGAATAAAATCAGGATAATGATGGGAGAAACCAAGCGCTGTGGTGACACCGCAACCCTAAACCCATCAGAGCTGGCTGCGAGGGCTGCTGCCCTGCCCAGCCAAGGGCAGGACCACCGGGGACCCACAGCCTTCCAGGGGTCCCTGGGGGGGACTGGGTCTCCCTCAAAACGTCTCGATAACCCAGATTCTCCCGCGCTCCTGAGGACGGTTGCCAGAGAAACCGAGCCGATCTCTCAATACAGCAGCAGGCATGCCAGCCTTTTCCCAAGGGATCAGTTTTCCCTTTGTTATCTTCCGAAAGCAGCACATCTCCTTTTCTCAAAAATCCCAAAAAAAAAAAAAAAAAAAAAAAAAAGTACCTTTAGTGCAGCCCTTGAGCTTTCAGGGACCCCGTTGCCATATTTCCCTGAGATGATCCCACAGGCTAGCGGAGACCACGTCATTGCTCCCACCCCTGCGGAGACACCGGAGAAGGAGATTATTTTTTTTTTTAGGGAACTGGGACAAATCAGAGTCGTGTCGCAAATAGAACTTTCAGTTAAAAAAAAATAAAAGCAAAACAATTGCTGCCTGTTCTGGCAGCAACGTGCAGTCGGTGTCTTCCTGGAAGAAGACCAGGAAGGTCGTCTTCTTCCTGGAAGACACCGACTGCTTTATTCACCCAAAATCATAGAATCATAGAATGGTTTGGGTTGGGAGGGACCTCAAAGACAATGCCACCCCCCTGCCATGGGCAGGGAAAACCTCCACTACACCAGGTTGCCCAAAGATTTTCTTGCAAAATCTTCTTTGCAAGAGCCTCCAGCCCCGTCCTGCATCCTACACCCATTCCACCTTGAGTCCCGAAGGGAAGAAGCAGCCGTGGCAATTAACACCTATTTCTATCAGCGGTGCGGTGAGCCCATTTTTGGTTTACGTCGTTAGATAAATACTTGTCTATCCCCTTCAGGTCCGGGGAAGGAGAGAGCTCGTCCCATCTGGAACCCCAGCATCAGCCTGTTCTGTGTTTTCTCCTGGAAACGCGATAGCCCAAAGGCACAGCAGGCTCAGCCTTACCTATTTTATGGTATAATTCTGGCAGCTGAACCTCCACTTTCTCTCGTTGGAAAAGATGGTATTCGGCTTGTTCGCACACGGGGGGTATCATGTTAAATTGCCTGGCTACGGAGTAGGCTTCCTGGAGAGAAGAAATCAGGAGATAAAGATACTTCATTGAGTAAAAGGACCTGGCAGGACGTAACCTACCAGCCAAGGCTCCCTGAGCAGGAGGGTGCCAAGGAGCTCGAGTTTCCCTGTCCCTTAGCAAGGCCACGCACGTCCCCGCAGATGGTGCCGGTTGGTGCTGAGCTTTTTTTATCGTGTTTGGACCCTGCTGCAAGAAGCAGGGACCAGCAGGATGCTCCTGGCGTCTCTCGGAATCATGGAATGGTGGGGGTTGGAAGGGACCTTTAAAGGTCCTGCAATGAGCAGAGGCATCTTCAATGAGATCAGGTTGCTCAAAGCCCTGTCCAGCCTGACATTAATCAGGGATGGGGCATCTCCCACCTCTCTGGGCAGCAACAAATGCTTCTGACAAAGCGTTAAGGATGAGCTGACAGGACGCTGGTTCCCCCAGTCCAGGGATTTCCAGGTAAAGCCAATGCCAAGGTCCTCGTGGCCAAGCAGGGATATTTCCCATCTACACGTCTGGACACGACGTGTTCCGAGCAGTGCTAGGAGCCACATCTTAAACAGTGGGGTTCAAATCATGAATTTCTGACCCATCAGCAGCCACGGGCATGGACATCAAACAGGCACTTTACCAAAATCTTGAAGTCAACCAAAAAATGAAACAACTCCCAATTAAACGAGCCGAGACGCCCGGACCCACCAGATCAGCCCATCTTCTCCCGCCTAACGCTGGGCTCATTCCGGAACAGGCTTTGAAATTATTTTAGGTGAAAAGATGCTGGATGGAGTAAACTGCATGCAGAGGGTGCAGCCGGGGAGCAGAATCACCAAGTGCCAACGCTTCCCTACGACCCGCTTTTACCATGATCTCCATGGCGCTCCAGCGCGACGTTCCCCAGTACATCGCCATGCCTTGATTGATCACGTGGGTCATCGCTCGGACAATTTCTAAAGGAGGGAAAGAAAAGCAGCATGAAAACTGCTCGGAGGCCAGTTTTTCCAGCACCAAATCCTCCCAAAGCCACTTCCAAATGCCAAGTACGGCGACACACCCCAGCGGCTTCGCTTTAAACGCTCCTCCTGCTGTGTTCTCTTGCTTGAGCGTGGATGAAGAAGCATTGCCAGCGTGAATGGGAAGGATTTTGTCCTGCAGTTGTTTAAAAACTGCTTTTACCAACCACATACTGCCTACCACCGCCTTACGCCCATATTTCTTTTAAAATTTAACACAAGAGGGCAGCACAGTCGGAAAATAAACTAAAAAAAAAATCAAATATACCTCTAAATTTGTTTACTACATTTTGTTTATGTATGTTAGGTCCTGCTTCTTTTCCCTAGGAATATTAGGGAAACTGGGAGCAGGTGGCACCTCTGCAAAACCCGACACGGCTCCTTAGTGCAGCAGTCCCATGGTCCTCGTTCTCCTTTGGGACGATGGAGAAGACGGAAGCCTGCAAGGCTACACATGCCAGGGCAGGATCTTTCCTTTCCCCCCACCGGACCGCTGCCGAGCAGCCCCTGCCTTCTGCAGGGTGGGGGAGAAAACCTGTCGTATGCTTTAGTTTGCAAGAAAAGGAGAAAAATTTGTCTGTTCCTTGTGGTTACCCTGGAGGTTACGGAGCCTGGTAGGATGCCAAACAGCTCCTGCCCACAGCATGTGGCTCAGTCTTTAGCCTGCTGTCTCCCCGGGAGCAGGAGCCGGGCACTGAGCGGGGTGCCTAGTGCTGAGCAGGGTGCCCAGCGCTGAGCAGGGTGCCCGGGCTGGGAGGCTCTGGGGAGCGGTGGGCTCCACAGCCTTGCGGTCACAGTCTCAACGAGCAATCCCAAGGGGATAAACAACTGCCCCAGCTGCGTAAGAAACTAGAGGAACCAACAGTCTACATCTGTATAACGAATTCCTGAGCCCTGGCACGACTCCAGTGGGACACGGAGTCGGAGAAGCCCTCAGTGTCTGTTACATCCCTTGGTGCCTCTGCTGTCACTCGGACAACGATCCAGCCATCGCTGTCTCAAGATCAAGGGCCTTTTATATCATAAGGCTTCTCATCCTATTTATGGAAAAAATAAGCCCACGGAGCTTGGCAGAGGGGAGATGACGCTGCCAATCTGGAGGCAGTTGTGAGATCTCCCCTGCAGGCAGTGACACGCAGCTAAAGCCCTCGCAGGCTCCGTTTCTGACCCCGGAAGGCTGCAGGAGGGATGCCGTGCCCCTTGTGCCAGGCTCTGCCTTCCCACCATGCCCCTTGTGCCAGGCATGTACTAGTTCAACAAAATGTCCTGTTATCAAGCAGCTACCCGGATAGCCGCAGGCGTGCGGGGCAATCCATCCCTCCCTCCCTCTCTCCTTCCCCGGCAGCACCGGCTTCTCGCTGGGTTTAATTTCCTATTTTTCCTGCAATACTGTTTGATAAGCATTTCATCATACACCTCTTACACATTTCGGTCCATGGTTGTTTTCATTTCTCCCACCTCTACTCTTTTCAAGAAAAACTGAAGTCAACTCAGAAAAAAAAAATTAAAATATCTCTCTATATATATCTATCTTCTTGTTTACCAGAGCCTGCTCCCATGGGTACGGTGATGGGATGGTTTGTGAGCAGCACATGCCTGGACCGCTCGGTCTGCCAGCTGGATGGCACAAACGGCATCACTTAAGAAAAGGAGATTTTTTTTAAAATACAAATTAATGTTTCGAAACCCAGAAAACTGCCTCCAGCAGCATAATAATAATAATTGTGACATAGCTTAAAGTTCCTTGATAGGAACCACGTCGCCTTCCCCACCTGCTCGCCAGGGCTGCGGATCGGGGCTGGCTGTGCAGTGGGTGCCCCTTGGCACAGTGACAACGGGGGTCTCACCAGGGCACCCCAGGACCCCTCTTTTCCATCTCGTTTGCTGGAAAAGCCCCTTGGGATGAAAAAAAGCATCTGCTAGCACAGCTGGGGGGTCGGATCTCCAGCCTGCAGATGCATCGCAGGCGGAGAACCTGGGGAGGCAGCGGAGAAACCTCAGCTGCCGCAGTGGGTGCCCCTTGGCACAGTGACAACGGGGGTCTCACCAGGGCACCCCAGGACCCCTCTTTTCCATCTCGTTTGCTGGAAAAGCCCCTTGGGATGAAAAAAAGCATCTGCTAGCACAGCTGGGGGGTCGGATCTCCAGCCTGCAGATGCATCGCAGGCGGAGAACCTGGGGAGGCAGCGGAGAAACCTCAGCTGCCCATGGGC